ATTGAGTACATAATTTCAAGTAAATCTATTTGCATTCTCTGATCACAACCCACAGAAAAAAACCCTCACTTGTACTTTTAGTAAATATGTATTTGGGATGAAAGCATTAAAATTTACTTTATCTATGATATATCATAAGAGTTAAGATGGAAAGCTGAAAAATATTGTTTTGATTAAGCAGCTCTTCAAAATCACTTTGTATGCAAGGAAATTCTACAGCCAGAATCAACCAAGAATACTTACTCAAAATATCATTTATATCATATAAAGGATCTTTTGTCTCTGCCACTAGTACTGATGATTCTTCAAAAAAGTAAACAACAATTTTATAAAACCATGAAAGAAAGAAACATCTTTAACTTCATTCAATACACATACTGGCTATTTAAGACATGATCTTTCATCTGAAAGAAGAACTGTGTGTTCATTATGAAATTAATCAAGAGTCTGGTTTCTTACATATTCCATTCTTCTTCTTAAGGAAGGAAATAAACATAATTACATTTGCTTTAATCAGTGATGGCACTTCTCTAAGATCAAGACTTTTATCTCAGGATCTACTACTTTTTTTTGTGGCAGGGAGAATTTCTCTCTCTATCTGATCTGATTAGCAGTAACCAGCATTGAAATCTATCTCCAGAATACTTAAAATTTGGATTCCCTTACTCTAGGGTACTTTGTTTATACACAAAGACTTTAACAGATGTAACACAGTGCAAAAAGTCAGACTGAATTACAAGGGGTTCCCCAAGAGCTTGTATTTCAAAAACTAAGCTGCAACAACAGGTGAGCAAAACAAGCGTGGAGGGTGGAATTTGAAAGATGGGAATAACAAACCGGATGTGAGCGATTTTACAGCAATTACAAACTAGGACTCTCCCTGCTGGTATCAGATTGTACTCACAGATTCAGCTGAAAGTAATTCTGTAACACTGCCATCAATATCATGCATGTAATGAGAATCATAGCCATGAATGAGGAAAATATCCCTCTTCACCATTGAGGTCTCACTGCTGTTCCTTGCTACATCTCCACTGGTATGCTGTATGTGGGAAGGGTTCTTTCTGATAAGAATTACCATGGAACACAAAGTGCTTTTCCTCCTTGTGGAAGAACCCATACTGAAGCTGAGCAAAGGAGCCACCAAAGGCACCCCCTGTTTGCAGTGTGGATACCTGTTCTTCAGCACTCATTGCTCCATCTCCACATGTGCCCTCTTTAAAACAATGAGCACCAAGACAAGTGCCAGTGACGTCTTGAACCATTACAGCCCACAGCAACTGGAAACTCTCTGTGAAGAACCAGTCACTGACACAACAGTATCTCAAGGAAGTGAAGATTCTCACAGTAAATGTTCTCATCTTTGACCTCTTCTGAGAAAGTAAGTTTTCTTGTCTTTTTCTTGTTAGATCTTTCATGAAAATAGGAACATTATGGCAAATCAGCAGGCTACTTTCTTAATTCCTCTCAAATCATACATAAACCAATAGCAAACAAAATTATTCTATTACGGGAAAGAAATGACCAACGCACAGCAGTAAATGAACAGTTTGGTTAGCTGTTAGGAAAGCTACTGACATATGCATGAATTTCACTATTAGTAATTGAATAAATGGTTTCAGTTTTAGGCAACCAGTCAAAATTATTTGTTTCACAATTAAGAACTAATAGTGACAGCTACTGAGACCATAGTGCTCAAGTAACACTCTATATCTTTCATTCCAGAAGTGGCCCACACTTGAGAGTGAGCAATTTTTGGTTTATAAGCACTAATCTAGATAAGGACAGTAACACTTATATTCCCCATGGACACACTTTGAGACAGACACTGTCTTGTCAGACTGATGGAACTGGCTGCCAGTGCTACACCTGCTCTGCTCATTACAGGCTTCAGTCTCAAAGCCTGCCAAGCTGTTACTTTTCACGGCACTACACCTGCTGGAGAAGTTTAAAGATGAAACCACAATAATCAGGAAAATAAGCTTCATTGTAAGAAATGTTTAAGGCACTACCCACCATCACTCAAAAGAGATAGCTACAACACTGATACAGAATTAACTTGTTTCTTAATCTTTCAAATATTTAGTCTAATAATAGAAATAAAACTTTTCCCCAGACAACTGCAACAAATGTTTTATAACTGAGGATTTGGGGAACAAACAACCCCACGCTAAGGTGTACTTGGTGCAAAATTTTCAATAGTTGAAGAAAGGATTCCCCTTTTCAACATCAGCAGTATGTCTTTCTACAGGAAATGACCAAAACTTTGCTTGGGACTATTGCACTGGTCTAAAAAGGGTCTTTACAGCCAAAACTGCAAAAAGGAACTAATCTTTTGGGTTGTTTTTTTTTTTTTCTCACTGGGATGTTCTAATTGAGATAGCTGGAAGAATATATGAAGATGCTGTTGGCACCAGTCTTTCAGAATATAGAAAGATTATAACTTGATTTTTTTTTGTAAAAAAGGTAGTGAAAATTTTTATACATATATACACACACATCAATAGGTGATGATAAGAACAATTCCTACGTATCTCCAACTTGGCAAAAATTAAGATACAAAGTTCAGACACTTCATTTTTGTCTGCACTGCCCTCCACTTTTCTCTGAGTTCTTCTGGGCATTCCACAGTAACTTGCTTATCAGTCCTAAAAATGGAGCAGCACAGGAGCAACTTTAAACCAATGCATTTTTATCTCACTTTATTTTGCATATTCTGCAGGCTTAGAAGTGAAACCTAGAATTTTTCATTTCCACTTTAAATCCTAGAGCAGGGAAAACCAGCTAGAGCAGAGTGGTAAGTCCACTTTCAGTATTATCTCCTTTACTGCTTTCAGCTGAGGTCTGGGCACATAGAACGCCACACACACTGTATGTTTTTATCTTCTTTTTAAGGAAATGGAATAAATAAGGATGAATGCTACTTGATCATTGAATGAAATGCACAACTAAAACAGTATTTTTCCTGTCTGTTAACTTGATCACCCAACATACCTAAGAGATTCCCTATTACAGTGCTTTCACTGCCATGTGCAGTCTTAACCTGGTTAACACTTCAGAATTTCTGATAGGGAGAGCTTAAAATCCACACAATGAACCCTGCAGTAATACAATTTTCCCGCACTTTACTGCTCTAATCCTCTAATTAATCCTATGAGGTGCCAATGCATAGTTCTAGGCAAACAAAAATGATAACAGCTCCTTTTGCCCCAATAGTGACAAACACCCAAAGCAATCCATCCCGTTCCCACGTGGAGAATGATGAGAGGTACAAAACACAGGCAGTGCGATAAGGGATACCTGATGCCACAGGCAACAGAATCCTCTACTAGCAGGACATACAAAGACTTTCACATACTTTATACTGTAAATCCAGGTAGTTGGATGTGTGAAGCACTACCTCCCCGCTAGAAACAGTGACTTTGTTTCTTCATAGTGGCAGGTATGCCGAGAAAAAAAAGAAAAAAATTAATCTTGTAAAATTCATAGTTCTGCCTCTGTACAGGAAGACAACAATGTGTCCCAAAGCCATGGAGGATGAAAAATCCACTTTGGAAGCAAGCTGCAGTTGAAAGGACAACTACATATAGGATCCAGACTGTATCCCATTTTAAAGACAAACAGGCAAGAGGACCAGGAACAGAAGTCTGTCTAGGTACAACTCCAACATGTTTATTAAATCAACTGGCTTAGCTGTTAAAAATACATATTTATGTATTTTTTACAGAGACTATTTTTGCTTTAAAAAACTAAGCAAAAGCCAGATTAAAAGCATCTGGGATCTCTCTCTGGCTTCAGGGTATGGACATAGTATGATGCTACTTTTAGGTATTATTGTTTCAATTTTGTTTTGAATTAATATACATTGAATAACACAGTTACTTAATTCTTACCATTTACACCCCCCCTTTTAAGTATTTGGCTAAAATAATGGGTAACAAGTTGATAACTGAAAGAGGTTACCATTGACCCGCTGAGCCAGAAAAACTGCAATTGAATGGTGCAAAACTTTCACAGTTCACAAACCAGCCACAGGAAACTGCTGGGTTTCTGAGCATTGTCTATACTTCTGACATTCCATTGCGTGTCAGAAACTGACACCAACCTTTCACTAGCTACGCTACGAACTATGCTCCCTCGCAGTTGTGCGCGTGTGTATGTGAGATGATTCACTTGCTTTTATTTCAGGGAACTGATGATTCATTCAATCGTCTCCAGATCGTATTAATCTACTAAATATGCACATAAAGGAGGCAAAAATTAAGTTCTTAAACTTTTTTATGCTCATACATTTATTTTTTTCTTTGAGAGAGAATAGAAGCAATTAAACATGGGAGACGAACCAGGACAGGTTACGTTTCTGCTCAAAGGCAAGGTTTGGGGAACACACCCAACCCACGTGTAAAACGAGCAGCCGTATTCCAGCGGCGGACTGCGCGGGGAGGGGAGCTCCCGTCCCCTGCCGGCCGCTCCGGGCCGGGGCTGTTCCCGCTGCTCCGGTACCTAGAGCGGGCAAGGCGCGGCGGACCGGTGCGTTCCACCGAGGGCTCGTGCCTCTCCTCCTCCGGTGACATCTTACATAATAAGCCGAGCTAATCACGCCGGAAGCGAGCCAAACCGCCACGGAGCATCAGCGGGGATAACTACCCGCGAGAGGAGATGCTCGGACCGGCACCCGCTCCTCTCTCACTGCCCGCCCTGGCGCCTTGCTAGAAAAATCCTCGCCGGGGCGGCAGCGGCTCCCGCAGCAGGCGCCAGACGCGGAGCCCTCGCTCGTCCCCCGCCGCGCTGCGCGCCGTCTCCCCAGGAAGCCGCAAGCACCGCGAACGGCATCAGCCTCTCCCGAGCGCTCCCAGCCCCGCCGCCTCCAGCCCCGCCGCCCTGCCCGGCCGCCGCCGGCTCCGTCCTCAGCGCCGAATTGGAGGAGAAAGTTACTCGGCGGCGGCCCGGCGTCCGCCGCCGCCGCAGTTCAAGAGCAATGTCACGTTCAACAACTTGTTATGACACATGATCCCCCCCGCACGCATCCGCACCTCGCCGCCGCCTGCCCGGCGGGCCCCTTACCTTCCCCTGCAGAGGCCACGGGCACCCGCGGGCGTGTGCGGGAGTGGGTGCGTGTGGCAGCGCGGGCGGCGCCGGCTGGGCGGGCGGGCCGGGAACGCGCCTCGCCGGACTTGTCAGCGGGCGGGGGAGGCTGCGGGGCGGCGCGGGAAGCGGCACGGAGGGGAGCGCGGGGGGCGGAGGAGTTCCCGGGGCTTGTTTACGCATTGCCGCCCGCCCGGTGCAGGCGCTGCACTCTCTGATTGGACACAAACTGGGGCACAGCCCGGCTCGGGCGCTGCCGGCCCAGGGGCCCCCGGCGCCCTCTTCGATCCGCGCATGCCCGGCGCGCCCGGGACGCGCATGCGCCCTGCGCGTGCCCGCTGAGGCGGCGGGGCCGGCGCGGAGCCGCTGCTCGGTCGGTGCCAGCGGGACCGCGGCCGGAGCGCTCCGCGTTTCTCTCCGGCGGGGCGGGACCGGCGGGACCGCCCCCGCAGGCGCTGGTTATGTAACTGGGGTGGCTCCGGCGGCCCCGCGCCACCGCCCGTGCCTCGGGAGGAGGGGCTGCCGCTCGGTGCTCCTGTAGCTGCGTTTCCCGAGCAGGGAGGTGGGTGTTCTCCCTCCGCCCCAGGGACGGGCCCCCGCCGAGGAGCGGCAGCGGCCGCTGCCCTTTTCTGCCCCTTCCCCGGACAGGTGCGGCCGCAGCCCGGGGCCGGGCAAGAGCACAGCACCAGTCAGACCCTTCTCCTTCACCTGCTCTTAGCGCATCGCATCCCGAAAACTTCAAAGTTTGGGCAGTACGCGGTGTCCGCGCGTCGGTGCGGAGCGAACAGGCAGCCCCGGGCAGCGGGAGGGGCCGTGTGTGGGCAGCAGCTGCTCAGAAACACCGCGCTCTTCCCTCCGTCGTGGAGGCAAAAGGCCATCCCCGCAATGGGTATTTTCTCCTTGATTTATTTCTGCTGGGGTGGGTGCGACTCATATCTTACCCTTGGTAAATTCCATTGAAATAAACAGTTTTAAAGCAAGGAAATAATCAGAACAATTGTATGACAATTGTATGACATTACTCATATACTCATTATTTCTAAATAAGCAGCTCCTTAATGCTCCTTTTACTCCCATCCCACAGTCAGCAAATGACAATAAATGTAATAGCTGAATATAAGCCACGAGAGCTCTTTGCAATAGGAATCCCCACTATGCGCTCTCAGTACGCGCCACGGGAACTTCCCTGACTCATTTTCAGATGAGTAAGCTTCTCAATCAAGTTTTCCTGGCATTTCATGGTAAAGCACTCAGCTTCCTCATATGATAACAGAATCAATAGTCCCTGTAAGCTGTCCCATGTTGCCTCTTGCACAAAGTTTGGCATAAGGGCCCTGGCTAGAACCATTTCCTCGCAAGCCACTAGAGCGCTGGGCCAGCAGTCAGGACTGCTGATACTAACTTAGAGCTGAGCATTCACCTGCAAGTTAGCAGCTTTCCTGGTTTCAACTTTCATTCTTAGATGAAAAGTAGGAGTGCAGTTTTGAAGGATTAATTTTAATATAGCAATGATGCTTTCTAAGTAGCATTGCATTAAAAAAAAATCTGGAGAAGAGTTCTCTTGTGCCTGCTTACTTAGAACTTTTCCCTTTTAGTCGCTGCCTGGGACAAATTACCAGGATATCTGAATTAAAGATGCTTTAACATCATCTGAATCAGGTCACATTACCACATTTATTTAGACAACAGTGAACCCTGTCAGTAAGTATATATTCTGAGGGTTTCCTGGTCAGACTAGTGTTGATCTTGACTGTCAGGTCAGCTGTTGGTTATAACTGTATTTTTGATAATGAGCCAGATTGGTTTTGTCAGAGCAATGCATTTAACTCCATAGAGTTTATAGTCAATAGGTGTCACACAATGTAGAGTATTTTTAGAGATTAAAAGAACCTTCACTGGAAAAAAACTATACTTCAGACTATCATATCAAACTCACTGAAAACTGAGACCTGGGTCCTATTATTAAAAGTTTTGGGGACTTCCGTAGGGTTTTGTTTTGGGGGGGTTCAAGTTTTTATTTGTTTAAAAAAAAAGAAAAAAAAAGAAAAAAAAAGAAAAAAAAAAAAGGGAGAAATTCCTAATCATGAAAGAACAGTTAGAACAGTTTCAGAGAGAGACAGTAGTTCTTTATCTGAAAAGAAAGGTCAGAAAGAGAACAAATTCCTTCCTGTACATCAAAGTACTTGAGCACTCATTGATTTTACTGGAACAACTGATGCCAACACTAAAGTCACAGAATAAAGCATATCAGAAGATACAATTATTCAAGGTGTTGTTACAAGGTGGAAATGTAGCTACCAGTGATAGTCTAGACATGGCAGGACAGAGCTCAGAGCAGATTAACTTTCTTTACTAAGACAGCAAGGAAGGCACATAAAGCCCTCAATGCAAAACGTACTTCAGTACTGACAGTTCTCTCACCAAATGTTCTGAGTCTACCTAAATGATGGATACAGATTTCCCTTCTCAAGAGTTTCTTCACAGCCAAGAGGGCCATGTATTTAAATATAAGTACATACATACGTAACTGTAAGTTTATATGAAACTTTATCATCTTCTCATGTGTTTTCTTGGCTCCTAGGACACACCAAATAGCAAGAGACGAATAATTGAAGTGCAAGAGTTGGCACTCCTTTTGTGTGCAGCAATGTAAAGGTCTAAAGATCTAAATCCAAGAAGTGGCTGTGAAAACCTGAAGTATCTTACACGATCCTGAATTTTCAGTGTAAACAGATTTTGCAGTTTCATGGTAGATTTTGCATATAGGAGAAAATGGTTTGCCTGGTTCAAGACTCAGTTCTCTATCTTACTTTCACTTCCTCTGCTGATTTTATTTCTAGTAGAGTGAGAAGCCTTAAACTGCTTCCTGGGTCTTCCTTCTTGATCCCAATCTTTGTAAAATGTAAAATGTAGATGTTTCCTTAAGATGATGGCTTTTATTAGCTGTCAGTTAGTTGCAATTAGAGCAATGGCCACATCTGGAGCTCCTCTTCTGCTAATGCATTTTGGAGAACTGGCATGAAAATTGTACTCAAGTGTAAAATATGTGGTTTAGAAATATTTTCTACTACTAAAAATAAGCAAAATTATATTTAATTCATTTTCAGCAGTTGCTACATGTAGATTGTGGGTTAACTTTCAAGTCATTAGTAGATTTTGTCTGTCAAATAAGCTCACAAAATTTCCAGTGAAGGGCAAGGCACAATGTTTTGGTATATCAAGGATCTTTAGGTTCCCTGGCTCTTGATTTCTGATCTAATATACATAAGTCTCAATGGGTGCTCTCCCTACCTTCTCAGAAATATTGCCAAGGTACATTTTTCCTTTTCCAAAGATTACATAGAAATTGAAAATTATGGCTTTAAAATGTCTAGCATTAATTATGCAGCTTTCTTATGACTTCTTGCCAGCGAGTGATAAATTCCTCTCTCCCTTTAATCCAGAATTTGACTACTTTAGCAGAGTACTAGGCCACTCTAAAACCACTTCCATTTTAAAAGAGGGTATCATCACTCCTAACTCCCTATTTAGAATCATGATGCTATTTTAAATGCTATTTTACACTATGATTTTTCATTCTGTTTGTGTTACTAATTAACTTGCTCTCCAAGCAAGGTTATCAATTGTTTACTGGTCAGCAAAAGGCACTCTTGGGTTTTACTGAGCACAGATTAGTGTTGCTATAATTACAGAGTATCTCATACCAACAGTGAAACTAAATTGTGAATTCTGCTTTTTGGTGGATATTTTCAACTTGAGCATTGTTTTATTTCTGTTCTATAGATACTGAAACACCCTGAATTTGAATTATGAAGCAGAAGAGAGTGCTCTCTTGCCTTTGGACTAGACTGGGGGTTTTCTTTCAGTTGCAGAGGGGAAGAGCTGTGAAACACCTGCTCAGCCTGGCTTCAGCTGCAGCGGGAGTAAGAATTGCCAGATATCCACTGTCAGCTGGAATAGCTTTACAAAGCTATTCCAGTAAATTTACCAATTTACTACGTTGGTCTAGAGCCTACCACAAGAAAATCCAAGAGTTTGCTTTCTCCTCATGACAGAGGCTGTTGAGATCCTTCAGTAAACATGATATTTAATCATTTATTGGTGCATTATAAATACATATATAAAAATAAAAAAATCTTCTGTGTTGGAGTACAGCTACAGCAACATCAGGGTTAGACCCTCAGCAGGGAATTGTGTACTCCTGCAAAGGCACCAGGAGTCTCCACAGACCTGCTTCCGTGCTTTAAGGCAGGTCATATCTCATTCCAGTTGTGCTATTCCAGAAACTTTCTCTACTTCCTTCCATTTCACTACTTTTTAACTCAACCATGCTCTATATTGTAGTACTATTATGAAACATTTATAATATCAGAGAAAGGTGTTTCCCAGTTTGATTTACATCCTTTTATGGAATATGAACTAAGGTATAATTACATAAGAAACAAGATATTTCACAGGCAGGCTAAAATATCTGTCAATGACTATGGGCAGTCTTCCTCTGAAATGGAGAAGGGCACAGAGGGGTGGTCTTGTAGTAATGAGCTCTGTTTCACACTGGGGAATTCTGCTCATAGAGAATTACAAGAGCAGATTTTATCAGACTAACCACCAACACTATTTGAGAGGGATGGCAGGACAAGACTGCTACCTGTGCTTAGTAATCACAGCAGCTTTTTCTGAGAAAGTCTCCCTCCTGCCAGTGAGGAAACAATCCCTTAGCAAGGAATTCAGAGCATAATTACTGAATGGTGTCTTTTCACAGCCCAGAGAACACACTAGACAATCACTTTTACACTGCCAAATGGAAGGAATGCAGGAAAGCAGGATGGAATAGCAAAGTCTCCAGGGAGACTTTTGCTCTTTGCTTATAGATGAGGACATGACTAGTCTTCTGCACTACCCCTGCCTGTGGTGTGCAAAACAGCTCACAAGGCAACTGATAGAAGTAGCTGCTCATGAGGAGGAGGTGAACCTAGATATCTAAATTTAGATTCTATGTATACACTACCATGTAAGCATTTTTACATCATCCTAAAGGAAAATATTTCCTGAATTGAATCTATTTCTTTTGTTAATATTGATTTGAGCCACTGTTGATGTGAAAGAAAGTAGGATAACATTTCTTTTTTTTTAAGATCCCTAGAAATCAGGGTTTTTCCAAGTTTCTAGTGTTTCAGCTAAAATACCTGCAGCAGTTCTTGCGGGCAACTTGAACAAATAGAATAAATTATAACCCAGTCGAGTTCTTGTATTACACCAATTTCTAAATTAGAATTCAGAGTCGTTTAGGTGACAAGTGGTCCATCTGGTGTACTTTGTCACAGTCCTTGCTGGAGCATCTGGGCACATTAAAAAAGGTGTTTTAAGTTTTAAAGCTTTTTTCTAAGTTTTTATTTGCATGTCAACTAGAATGTACAAGTAAAGATTTTCAAAAGGTAGAGAGGAAAAAAAAAAGTTCCTCTTATGCAGTATTTCTTTTCAGTCTAGTCTCTGGCTGTTGAAAACAATTTTTAAGGGGTTTATGTATTTGAGGCAACGTGGCTGAGGTCTGGATGTAGATAACTAGAACTATGGATACTGGAGATTTTTCTGTACAATGGGATGCAACAGTACACGGAGAAGAGGGAAGAGAAAGATTTGTATGACAAATCCATTCTACAGTTCAGAGATCTCCCTTCAGTTTCTTTAAAAAGAAGCAGACAAGACACAATAGAGCACTGATGGATTGAAGAGTTCCTATGTGAGAGAGCTTTTCTAATCTGTCCACTACCAAATACTTAGGATAACACAGCATGAATTTATTTACAAAAATTCTATTTTTAGCACATAATAAAATGCACAGTATAAATTCAGGGTTTTTTCCTGCCCTGTAGCATTAACATATTTTATACATTTTTTATCCCCTCTGCATATACCTGATGGTACCATCACTGAGAACGCTGTAATCTTCCTTATAAACT